TTAGTTGTGCGAAATGTTGCAAGATTTGTCTCCCCGTTTTCTTGTTTATTTATTTATTTATTTAAAATACCCTCAAGGCCATTGGCATTACAGAGGGGAGTGGGGGTTAGTGGCAGTAGTACACTTCGCAGCTCAATCTGAGCAGTATAGATTATTCATGGCAGTCCTAAATAAATGGTCAGGAACAATTGTTGCGATAGATGCGGGAAGGTGGTTCCAATCCACTGAAGTTTTTGGAATGAATGACTCTTGGAATGCATTAGTGTTGCATTTTAGAATGTCTACTTTATACATATGATCAATGCGAGGTGAAATATAAGAAGGTTGATTCAGCAGTCGGTTGTGAAGTAATGAGTTAGTATGGTATATCTTATGAAAAAGACATAAGCGAGCTATTTTACGACGTAAATTGAGGTTAGGCAACAATAGGCTAGTTTTCATTGAGCTCACGCTTGCGGTGCGATGAAAGTTATTAAGAATAAAACGAGCAGAGCAGTTCTGAACTAATTCCAGGGCGTTAGTTAGTTTGGAATGACCGGGGTCCCAGATAGAAGAAGCATATTGTAATTTAGAGCGTACAAGCGTTTTGTACAGAGTTAGTTTCAAAGATGAAGGGGCAAGTGAAAAGTTTCGTTTTAGATAACCCAGCATTCGATTAGCGTTATTAATAACATACTCAACATGCATTTGCCAGGAAATATCTGAGGTTATATACACGCCTAGGTATTTATAAGAAGAGACAGAATGTAAGGGGACATCTTCGAGAAAATAAGAAGAAGGAAAATTACATTTACGCGATACTGTCATGGCCTTGCATTTAGTCGTGTTAAGTTCCATCCCCCATAATTCACACCACTTTGAAACATGGTTGATGTCAGTTTGTAAATTCAGAACATCCGAGGCGTTAGTAACTTCTCTGTAAATAACACAATCATCAGCGAATAAACTAATTGAAGAAGAAATCGAATTCGGCAAATCGTTAATATAGATAAGGAACAATAGCGGACCTAATACAGAACCTTGCGGTACTCCAGAATGGACGGAGGCGAGCGGGGACGTTTCATCGTTAGCGGTTACAAACTGGGAACGATTAGTGAGAAAACAAGTTATCCAGGACAGAACATTTGCGTCAATGTTAAGACTGTTAAGTTTTAATAGCAGCAGCTTGTGTGAAACTTTATCGAATGCTTTGGAAAAGTCCAAAAAAATGCAGTCTACCTGGGACCCTCGGTCAAGCGCTAGGTGCAAATCATGGGTGAATGACAAAAGTTGCGTTTCGCAAGAGAAGGATTTACGAAAACCATGCTGAGCGGTGCTAAAGAAAAGGTTAGATTCTAAAAATTGAACTAGTTGTGAGTAGATGATATGTTCTAGTATCTTGCATGGAATGCTAGTAAGCGAAATTGGTCGATAGTTATTCGGGCAATGTTTGTCACCTCCTTTGTGGATTGGCACCACCCTCCCTATCTTCCAATCAGCAGGCAACTCTCCAAGTGAAAGCGACTGGGAAAAAATTTGAGATAATATCAAAGAGCAATACATTTTTGTGTTCTTGAGGAACTTTGAGTTAATGCTGTCGGTGCCAGCAGAGGAAGAAAGTTTTAAGTTATCGATTATTTTAACAATACCAAATGGGTCGACAAGAACGGGTCCCATAGGCAAAAAATCACTCGCGTCAAATCTACAAATAGGCGTGTTAATAACAGACTGAAAGGACTTAATAAAAACATCATTCAAAACGCGAGCACATTCATCGCTATTAATTACGTCTCCATCCGCGTCCTTGAGTGAAATTACGAATTTTTCTTTTTTACTAACAACATTCCAAAACTGCTTTGGGTTAGTGGCTAACATAGACGGTAGCTTAACGTTAAAATACTAGTTTTTTGCATCTTCAATAGCACTTTTGTAAACTGCATTGGCGTTGTGGTAAGATTCCCAACGGTTACAGGTACTGGAAGATTTCGCGGCACGAAACAATCTCTTTTTCTTGTTCGATAGCCTCCTCAGTGATGGGTTATACCATGGTGATTGATGGTGAGACGTTACAGATCGCAGTGGAATGTACTTGTCGGTGAGAACAGCGACTTGACCCTTAAACATATTCCAGTTCTGCTCAACAGAACACTTGGAGCAGTTAACAAAATAGTGATCAACAAACTGACTCAGGGCATCGTTTATAGCGTCGAAATTAGCTTTTCGGTAGTCACGAATAAGTTTTATCTGCTTTCTACTATTACACTTTGGTATGCTTAGAGAGATGAGTAACGAGCAGTGATCACTTAGTCCTGGTAGGTGAGATATTAGGGATACAAGGTCAGGTGTGGAGGTCAGAACAAGGTCAAGAATATTTGCTGACGTGGCTGCAATTCTTGTGGGTTCTGTAACTAGCTGCGACAAGTTAAAATCGGAACACATGTTCAAGAAATCGAAACACTCCGACGAAAATGGGTTAGGAAACGGGCTCTCATGTGACCAACAGATGTTTGGGTAGTTAAAATCACCTAGAAGAAATATTGGACTGTTTGGAAACCTTGTTACAACTATATTGATAGCATCATGAAGTTCGTTTACAAAACTAGAGGTACACTTCGGCGGACGATAGCAAACACAAAGGATAACTTTTTTATAATTCACTTCAAAACAAACGCAGAGAAACTCAATATTTAACGCCAAGTTTACACAATAGGAAACAATACAGTCGGCTACTGCAATTAGTACACCACCTCCAGATCCAAACTGCCTATCGGAACGATACACGTTAAACCGCTTTTGACAATCAAATATTTCACTATTCCGTACTGTAGCGGAAAGCCACGTCTTGGTGAGTACGACAACGTCAGCCGATGACGAGTCAAGCACAGCGCATAACTCATCTCGCTTTTTTAGCACGCTCCTTATGTTAGTAAAAAAGATAGACATATTTTCGGAAGAATGACCATGATCGTTTCTCGGTTGCTATGACGAAGGGGATTCATTCGCTGACTCAGCAAGGACGCCAGCGGCTGTATCGGCGAGACTCAACTCGGAGGGAGCCCCGAGCTCGCGCACACTATGTTTCGGAGCAGTAAACATAAATTTTTTTGTCAAAATGAAGCTTGTTGTACCGTAATCTAAAGTTAATATTAGGATTTAATGCCTTCGCAAATTCGATTAATTTCTTTCTAGCCTGACGTGTAGCTGGTGAAAAATCCTCATTAATAGAAATGCCACTGCCTTTTGCCTTCGTTCTTAACGACAAGATGCTCTCTCTAGATTTCGAATTCGCAAATTTTACAATAATCGGTCGGCACTTGTTCCCGAGAAACAGGCCTATCCTGTGTGCTCGAGCTATGGCGTCATCTGTGACCTCCATATTCATTACCCGCAGAAGCACCGCTCTAACCTTCTCCTCAGACTGACTCATCGTTTCTGACGGAACGTCCTCGATTCCGTGAAAAATTAAATTATCACGTCTTGACCGGTCCTCTATCTCGTCCATGCGCTCACGCAGGAGAGAATTCTCTTTCCTGGCGTCATCAGCAATGCACTGTGCAGCATGTAGTTGCTTCTGCCATTCGTTAAACTTTGCAGACTCTTTCTCTACTCTTGTGAGCCTACTGTCGACTGAGGTGAGTCTATTTTCCATCAGTTGTTGGTTTTTCTTAATTTCATTTACGGAACTCATTAGCGTTTCCTGCCCAGATTCAAAGCGTACAGTCCGCTCGTTGACATCCTGCAGAAGCTTCAACATTTCATTAAACTGTTTGATCTGTGCATCTGACATAGGTCCCGGATTAAGTTCTATATCGCCGCTCAGAATTAGTACTAACGTACACAATGCATCTAAACAGTCAGAAACACAGCAACACACTGCACCTGGGCGAGGCAGCACTACCAGGCAGCGATAATCGCTTTTAATTTCAGAGTAAGAATGCCGTTTACCAACCTGTAGTAGGAAGAGCACAGGATTAGATGGCTGCCACATCGTTGCGTAGCTGCCTCGCCCACTGACGAAACACGCGCCAAACAGGGGGGCGTCTTGCGAAGATTTGAGTGTTGCCGATGACGATTCGGTGCCGCCGAAAACAGGAGAGCACTCAGGCGAAAAGTTTTGATAATCGAGAGGCCAACAATCCTGGCAACCGCGACTGGCATTCCTGATGACCGGGAAAGGCGCTTTCAGGAGGGTCTGGTATCTTGGTAGCACTGTAGAGTCGTCGTAGTCCACAGGTCCCAAGCAACCACGTATGTCCGTCGGACGTCCGAACAAGAGCCGAATATCCATTGCCAGGGAAGGACGTCCGTCGGACGTACACTGGACATCCGTTTCCGTACGTCCAAATTCGGACTAATAGTGGACGTCCTGTGGATATACAGAAATGGATGTCCGAGGGCTGTCCATTTGTGGATGTTCGAACATATCCCAATAGGTATTGGGAAACCATTCAAAAACAGTTACTTAAAAGTGGTCCCATTCTGCACTAAACGATTATCATAACAGAACCTTTTTGTGCAGAGGATATACCTTTCCCTAATGAAGATAGGTTTGAGGCCCCCCCCCCCCCCCCCCCCAAGATTCTTTGACAGATTTGATGGCCCCTTCAAGATTTCCTGAGGTCTTAAGAGGTCCCATCACAGTATTTCCTGAAGTTCCATAGGGGCCCATCACAATTTTCTGCAAAGTCTGATGGGCCCTCTAGGATTTGCTAAGGGTTTGAGGGGTGCAATAGATGCTTTCTGGGGTCTCCAAGATCATTCAATAGGTATGACGGGGAAAAAAAGAGGTGGACACATCGGTAATTCGTTTTTTTTTTTCAAGTGTTGTCCGAAGGTCCATTAATAGAGGCCTAGAACCTTAGAATTGTAAGCTCCTTTCAAGCTGATACTGTGTGCGGTAAAAAGAAAAACAGTATTGTATGTTCTCGACTACAAGTAATCAAATGAATTGTGATGCATGTGTACTACTTTTTAAAGTAATTTTGCAATCATTTGATTACATTTTACGTATTGATGTCGCAGTGCCAGTTGGCCTTATGTTTCGTAAGCTAGAAGGAAACAAGGATGTTAGACAGCAAAATAGTTTTTTATTTGCAATCAGAACCAGGGCAGAGGCACCTTTCTCACACTTGAAGGTAGATGCCTACTCTCCCTTAGAAGTGGTGCACCTCTCCTTTGCGCGGCGAAGCCACTCCTTGACTTCCGTTTCCACCTCTTTTTTCGTAGACTCTTTGCAGTGCTTTGTCCGCTTTATAGCAGCTGAAAGCAATAGATGACCCTTATAGTACAACTTAAAAAGGCAGGGAATTGCGTTGCAAACTTCTACTTACCAAAGATCAATTTGTACAGCTTAAGGCTACGGAAAACCTTCTTCCCTTTGCGCCCATCCATGCTGAACTTGGCTGCAGCTTCGTCACTAATCAGGTGTGCAAGCATAGACCTTACAGTTGTTTTGATAGACAGGTCCCCAAGGGAGGTCAGCTCCACAACCTGGAAGGAACGTACAGAGCACGACACAGTTAATACGAACAAGACATAGCCAGTTTTCGCTGTTTTACTCTGACCAGTGAAACGCTATCCCCAAAGCTACTTATATCATGGAAAGGGTTCATCTTGGGGCAATAACCTTGGTTATAAGAAAATGCAATCCTCAATTCACTGTCCATGCAAAATGCCAATGCCGTGTTTGAGCACATAAAACGTGGGGCTGGTGCCTGGGGAACGTAAGACATGACATAAGGAGCATTACGATACCCAGAAAGCAAGTATAGCCAAAAATGTTTGGCATTCAAGGTTAGCTGGATAGAAAGAACCTGAGCATGAATGGGTTTACAGCTTGTATTAACTGGGCTAGGCTTTACAATTAGCCAATTCACACCCCCTCTTTATCTCCGAGGCCAGTATGAGTGAACTGGTGATACCTTGAGAAAGATTGAATGAATGTGAGGGCCCAAATTTTATTTTATTTGGGCAGTTGTTTACACCTCCTAGTCATTGTTCTATCTCATTAGTCATTTCCCATGCTCTAAGATCTGGAACTGTGGGACAGAGTTGCCATTTGAAGAAATACGGAAGTAGTCAGAGCTTGCTCTACACTCATGAAATAATGCTAAAGTATAGCACCATTACAAACACCTTTGTTGCTTACCAGAGAACAGGCAGTCTCACCCCTTTGATGCATCTCGATTTAAAATCACAGCTTGCTCCTAGCTTATTTGTTATCTGCATGTCTTAACCTTAGCTGCACACTAGGGATAAGACATAACAGCAAAGCCTAGAGAATGCAAACACCAATACTTGCCTCAGTAAGTGACAAAAACTAGAGTATGGGCAGGCATTGATAACAGCAATTGCTTACCAAAGCCTCACTCGTGGCATCTGTAAGAGCGCCATCAAACACCTCAATTGCTTCAGGAGTGTCGAGGGGATCAACGAGGATCGGCTGGCTGGGCTCTACAACGAAACTCTCACGCGCTCGTAGCAATGTCGAAATCATGTCCATTATCTCCGTCTGCTGGCTCCTCATGACGCTCATCCCATTCAGCACCCGTCGCTGAAACTCTGCATGCAAAGAAAAGGCTTGAAATAAATATTGGCAAATAAAATTAGTGCAGGCAGGAGACAACATCCTACTTACCAGCAGCACTCAAGATCCTAGCAGTGGCCCGCAGATCAGCTAAAAAGAAAAAAAAAAGATGGCAAAAAGTCAAGAGCTTAGCCATTTCAAAACTATTCAAAGTTGTGCAACCATGCTGTGAAAGAAAAACAATTGAAATCAAATTAGCTTACCGCAGGTCGAAGCACTGGTGCTAGGCGTCATGTGTTGCATAGCCTGCAGTGCTGAAAAAATTTAATGAAGGACACACAAAATATCTTAATACGCAGCTGCAACACAATTCTGCAGTAAAGTACCTTGATCTAATCGACTGGGAGCCGACATCCTTGTCAATGTTTGAGATGCGGTTGAAAAACCACTGGCATCTACGAAGATAAAGACAACTGCAGGCGCTAGATGCAATAAGGGTACAAGGTGACTTGGATTGCTTCTCATATTTATTTATGTTATTTATTTATTTGGTACTTCTGAACTGCCCTTCAAGAGCCCGTGGGCCTACAGGAGGGTGCACCATGCATACATGCAAGAGCTCAAATGACACAGAATACAAAATTAAAAAACATGCCTAAAAAGTAGGAAAAAAATTTACATATGTAATATCAACAGAATGTGACCTCCGACAGTGGAAAACATACAGCGCAGAAACCTGTTGCCCCCATATCTGTTGTTTAAAAAACAGAAAGGAAAACATACAATCAATGTATACCTTGAGCAGGGCTCGCACGCTAAAACTTCCAGGCAAAAAAATATCCACCTCTGGAGAGTTCACTTTATTTAATATGCTAAAAGCCTACCGAAAAGTTTCCAGATGTGAAAAAGTCACTTCGTTTTTGGCGGTATGGTGCTCCATACATTTGCTTGCTCAAATTTGATTAAATATAAAACTTCACCCAGAAAGATATGAAAGAGATGGCGATTGTTTTTGCAAGCTTTGCATTTGAATTTGCACTGCTAGTATGCGTAGCTCTTTATTTGTAAAACGATCATGCAATGTACCTTTATTTCGTGAACTGGGAGCCGGTGTCCTTGTTGACGTTTTAGGTGTCTGGAACGAACCACAGGCACCTGCGAAGATAAAGACAGTTGAAGGGGCTACATGCAAGAAGGGTACATGGTGACATGGATTTTTCTCATATTTAGGTTCCTAGATGTGAAGAAAGCCACCTTGTTTTTGGTGGCATGGTGCTCCATATATTTGCTTGCCCAAATTTGATTAAATATAAAACTTCAGCGCTCACACGGAAATGAAATTAAAGTTAATTGGTTCTGCAAGCTTTGCACCTCAACTTGCAGCAATATGTGCATAGCCCCTCATTTGTAAAATGGCCATACATTATAGGTTGTTCGCACATAACGTCAATTTGGCATTTTGTTGTTAGCTTGTTTTTTCACACAAATTTACTACATTGAAGGATTACATCGTAACCGGTTGAGATGATGTCAGCGGTGCTCTACGCATTTGAGGGGGCGTGTCAATCCTTGGAATGCTCGAGTTTGGCACACGCCAGACAGCTCACAACAACAAAATGGTGGACGAAATTACGTCAGTGAAAACACCCTATAGCTACCTTTATCTTGTGGACTGGGAGCCAGCGTGTTTATCGAAGTGCTAGACGACTGGGACGAACCACTAGCACCTGTTTGGAGATGTCTGATTAAGTTGGGAATTGGTAACATTAGAATACAAAAAGCGAAAAACAATATAAGTGGTTTTCAGGAGAAACTGTACCTCGCATTAGTGCAGCTTGCGACATTTCACTGTGTATTGATCTTGCCGGGCTCGCACTCTGTGATTCCAGTCTCTGGCTACTGGCTGTGAAAAGCGACCAGAAAACCTCAAATTGTAAGATGAAAAAAGTACAAATTGATCTCCCAAAATATAAAAAATGCAGTTGTGCCCCAACCCCCTATATAAGCACATTGTTTACGTAAAACGACAGATCAAGTACGTCTGACGACACACCCTAGACTTATCAAGTGCCAGGTTCGAATTCTAAGCTAAAGGTTAAGAAACAGTTGCAACGGTCAACAAGGCTGTCAGCTGCAGAACAAAATAAAAATCAAATAGCGTTACGCGAGTTCTGCCGTGCGCAGAGCGGCATCGGGGCTTCCGGGAATTCATCCGAGCTTGAGTCGGACTCGCTCCAGCGTGTGGGGCGAAATCTCCTACGCTTTGGGCGTATCTCCTCGTCCGAGAGATCAGATGTGAACCGCGACCGCTCCAACTTAGATCGCCCTTCTTCGTAGGAATCTGTAGTTACATAAGAAAAAAATACTTACAATTAATGAACACTGCTGCACGCATGAAGAGATGCAATATACTCACTGAATAGTCCTTTCACAGTCACCTCGAACTCAGAAAACCCTGGTCCTGGTGGCCCCCCCTTTCGCACTAGCTTGACAGCCTTATCGGTGGACACCTTCGGCCATAAACAGTTGTTTCCCGTGACCCACGTGTAAGGCACGATCTCCACCTCTTGGGTTAGCCTAAATTCCACAATTGCATACATCCCTGAAAATGAACAGAAAAACTGATGTGAGAAAGTCATCAACACTAACCGGATCTAAAAAGTTATGCAAAAGCTAAACATTTACCTTGAGCTGCTGAAATGGCGGCGGTTTCACGGTACCGTCGCTTTCACCGACAGTAAAACGTAAAACCCGGTCGTGGTAACACCAGAGTCCAAACCACGCGCTCCTAGAGCCGACAATGCACAAATATCGATGGATTTCGTTGGCTATGGATTTTAACGGATATGTGACACTAGCGGCACCTAGAAAAGTTGAAAACTACATGACGTCGGGGTTAAACATCAATAAATAAATAAATTGGTAGCGTTTGTTTTATTCATACATTAGTTTGGTGACTTATCAATTTAAACAAATCTCCACAGACAAATTATAACAGCACAGTCGTACCGTCGGTGTCATCCTTGGTGTTATCCTACGTTGATTTCATGAATTGCAGTTTACACCAACACGCTCGGCAACAAGCAGTAAAATAATTATGCCTAATTTTTAACAACAAACAAGAAAAGTAGCGAGAAGTATATTCTTATTGAATCATATACCGACTAACCACTGATCGGTATAGCCAGCTTCGCGACCTCACCTGTCTCGGCTGGCAACCCGATTTTCGAGTTTTGTTCTTTTTCTTTGTTTCTTCCGTGTCCACGTTGTTGCTGTCGCGTGTCAACGGTTATACAACGGTGTTACTAAAATATTTTTATTTCTGTTTTAAGTAGTATGGTGCGTGTGTGGCAGTACTCACGTTGGACAATGTTCCAGAAGAACTTTTCGTCTAGTTGAACTATCTGCTTGAGTTGTCCATTTCGGGTTAGTACTTGCTTTCCATACCACGTCCTTTTTTTCCATCCCCCTCTCTTTTTGTGTTACTCGAAATTCATTCCGTTCGTGTTTTCGTAAGTAGCGTCCTAAAGGACTAGTACAGATGTTGGCTAGCGTTTCACAACTTTCGTTCACCTATAGTTGAACGGCCTACTTGTTTCTATTTTTGGGAAAGTTAGTTTAGTCTCATTCGATCTGAACCGCTTCGTTATTTCGCGCATATCATCCGTACCACGCTTTGTTTTTTCCGTCTTCGCCCGTTCCTGTCTGGCTGGAAGCACATCCAGTCTGCGACTGTGAGCTACAGGTACGTTGACGGTGTACGTGAAAATTGCACGCACTCATGCCTTTGTCAACTTGTTTTCTTAGGTCTGCACGGTGGAGAGGGGCTTCCCCACGCCTGGGTCAAGCACATCCAGTCTGCCGCTGTGAGCTACAGGTACGTTGACAGTGTACGTGACAATTGCCTTCACTTATGCCTTTGTCAACACAGGGGTTTCCCCACGCCTGGGTCAAGCACATCCAGTCTGCCGCTGTGAGCTACAGGTACGTTGAAGGTGTACGTGAAAATTGCCCTCACTTATGCCTTTGTCAACTTGTTTTCTTAAGTCTGCACGGTGGAGAGGGGCTTCCCCACGCCTGGGTCAAGCACATCCAGTCTGCCGCTGTGAGCTACAGGTACGTTGACGGTGTACGTGAAAATTGCCCTCACTTATGCCTTTCTCAACTTGTTTTCTTAGGGCTGCGCGGTGGAGAGGGGTTTCCCCACACCTGGGTCAAGCACATCCAGTCTGCCGCTGTGAGCTACAGGTACGTTGACGGTGTACGTGAAAATTGCCCTCACTTATGCCTTTGTCAACTTGTTTTCTTAGGTCTGCACGGTGGAGAGGGGCTTCCCCACGCCTGGGTCAAGCACATCCAGTCTGCCGCTGTGAGCTACAGGTACCTTGACGGTGTATGTGATAATTGCCCTCACTTATGCCTTTGTCAACTTGTTTTCTTAGGGCTGCACGGTGGAGAGGGGTTTCCCCACACCTGGGTCAAGCACATCCAGTCTGCCGCTGTGAGCTACAGGTACGTTGACAGTGTATGTGATAATTGCCCTCACTTATGCCTTTGTCAACTTGTTTTCTTAAGTCTGCACGGTGGAGAGGGGCTTCCCCACGCCTGGGTCAAGCACATCCAGTCTGCCGCTGTGAGCTACAGGTACGTTGACGGTGTATGTGATAATTGCCCTCACTTATGCCTTTGTCAACTTGTTTTCTTAGGGCTGCACGGTGGAGAGGGGTTTCCCCACACCTGGGTCAAGCACATCCAGTCTGCCGCTGTGAGCTACAGGTACGTTGACAGTGTATGTGATAATTGCCCTCACTTATGCCTTTGTCAACTTGTTTTCTTACGGCTGCATGGTGCAGAGGGACCTCCCCATGCCTGGATTTTGCACCATATGTTCATAACACACTTAAACTTCCCTTTAGATGACAGGGAATAGCTTTTCCCCGTCATCTACAGGTAGGTTTCAGTGTGTTGTGAATATGCACTCATACCTTCGTCAATTTGTTTGCTTGGCGGGGGAGAGGGGGAGCCGTAGCGGCCTCCCTCCACCGAGGACTAGCACTTCGTCACTCGTCCGGTTAATTTGCGATAGTTACCGGCACTGGTATCTTAAGCTTTTCTCGCTAGGCATGAGATTGCTTTTCCACGACACAGCCAATCTGGTAGATAACATAGGCTAAAAATACTGAAAAAGTCTCTAGGCACAAGTGCCATTCATATATATAGTCCAATTAATATAATTAAAGCATATTTCTTTCATTTGTTTACAGACGGACACTTCCTCCAAGGTCTGACTAGGACATGGGTCAGACAACAGCAAGACAGCTGCTAAATATATGGCAGAAGAGCTTTCCAGGGCAGAAAGGTATTGCACAGTTGACAAAAAGGGCGACTGTCGAGGAGTGGAGCCACCAGAAGATCTGGAGAAAATGCATACTATTAAAATTATCATCTTATTTCAATATAGATTTGGCTCATGGTCTTTCATTGGCACAGCATGCGGGCTAGGGTACGACATTTTGAACATTCATAGCTGTCCAAGTAAAGGGTAAAGCATAAAGCGCCGTTCACACTCTTGCGACCGAGAGACCAGACCGGTTTTTAAGCCTTTTGCGACTTCTTAGGACCGGATGCGCTGCAGCGGAGCTGGTCCTAAGAGATCGCAAGAGGCTTAAAAACCGGTGTGGTCTCTCTCGGTTTTACTCGGTCGCAAGAGTGTGAACGGGCCTTTAGACGTAATGCCCTAATCCCTAGGGATTTTGAGGCGCGATATTCAAAGTATGTCCGCTGAGGATCCCTGTTCGGATGTCCTCCGGATGTACAAAACTTACCTTTGTACGTCCGTCGGACGTCCACGGGACGTCCTTCGGATTTTCGCGGATGGCCCTCGGATGTACGATATATCCGAAAAGGATATCCATCGGATGTCCGATGGATGTCCAGTGGTTGCTTGGGGTAGGGCATGCCAAGCGACAATCTGTAGTAGGAAGAGCACAGGATTAGATGGCTGCCACATCGTTGCGTAGCTGCCTCGCCCACTGACGAAACACGCGCCAAACAGGGGGGCGTCTTGCGAAGATTTGAGTGTTGCCGATGACGATTCGGTGCCGCCGAAAACAGGAGAGCACTCAGGCGAAAAGTTTTGATAATCGAGAGGCCGACAATCCTGGCAACCGCGACTGGCATTCCTGATGACCGGGAAAGGCGCTTTCAGGAGGGTCTGGTATCTTGGTAGCACTGTAGAGTCGTCGTAGTCCACAGGTAGGGCATGCCAAGCGACAATCTGTAGTAGGAAGAGCACAGGATTAGATGGCTGCCACATCGTTGCGTAGCTGCCTCGCCCACTGACGAAACACGCGCCAAACAGGGAGGCGTCTTGCGAAGATTTGAGTGTTGCCGATGACGATTCGGTGCCGCCGAAAACAGGAGAGCACTCAGGCGAAAAGTTTTGATAATCGAGAGGCCAACAATCCTGGCAACCGCGACTGGCATTCCTGATGACCGGGAAAGGCGCTTTCAGGAGGGTCTGGTATCTTGGTAGCACTGTAGAGTCGTCGTAGTCCACAGGTAGAGCATGCCAAGCGACAATCTGTAGTAGGAAGAGCACAGGATTAGATGGCTGCCACATCGTTGCGTAGCTGCCTCGCCCACTCATTTCAGGATAAAATAGAACTGCTCCCTGCAATTTATTCTTAGATGATCTTAGATTTTTCGTCGGTTATAAGGTTGATCACATTCTGATGGATGTCTTCTATCTTCTTGAGGACATCAACATCAGTCGCACCTTCCTCCTGTCCGCTGTTTACTGTATCTTGAGTGTTTATGGTGGTCAGGGTCAGTCGGATAACTTCTCAACTATATGCTAATTTTAAGTCAATTCCACGTCAAAGAAACCGGATTAATTAACTAAATCGAGGAATAAACGCTCTGTTCTCACAAGAACACCGGTTTTAACGGTGTTTCAAACTAGTTTGGAAAAAATCACAATTTGAGAAGAATGGACCCGCTGGTGTCTTTCAAAGGAAGCCCAAGCTTGTATGTCGACTGTTTAACAACTACCGGAGGTATTTTAATTATCTCAGTGGTGAAGTGATCGCTACACCGTAGTGATCACAGGTTTAGTAATAAATTGCAGGGATCAGTTCTATTTTATCCTGAAATGAGCGCCTGAAATCGGGCACCTCGGCCAAAATGGCCGCAATGTCAACAAGGATTCCAAACGCTAATTTCATGAAAACCAAATGAGCTATTTTGAAAATGAGGGTATCAAAATGATCACTATAATCTTATTGGTCTAACCGCCAAGTTATTTGAGCTATATAGATGGTAAAAAAGGCAATAATAAACTGGAACGGTATAGGCTTACTCGGAGCTGATCTCGTAGGATCCTCGTCTTCCTCCAACACCAATGACTAGTTCGACTTACTTCATACATGTAAGTCACTGGATCAGTAAGGAACAGATGAATTCTTGAATACCACTCAACTTCACCAGTACTCCATGCCAAGAACAACCATGTTCCGGGAAAGAAGGACATATGTCGTTGCAAACGTTGATCTGATGGAGGAAGATAGCTTTCTGACATTCTTTCTGGTGTCACATCAAATATTGCATTTGAAAGAAGGTACACGATGGCGATACAAACAGGTCTGATCATCAATGAGTGACCAGAATGTATTCTAAGAATTCCTGACACCTCGTTTGCATAGCCAGGACTCATCCCTAATATCATGAGGAGGGTAGTAATCTCCATCAATGGTGATGGCATCAACTCCCTTGATATTTTCTGAATAA